GGTGGGCAGTGGAGGGAGGAAAGACTGAAGACAATGAGGGCACACTGAAAGCTCTCTGGAGAGTGCATGGGAGGTGGATTATCTGCCTCACCCAGTGCATCACCCTATTCTCAACCTGCCCCCATCTTCTTTATTCCCAGGCTGGCTCCTTCCGGCCTGAATACAATTCCTCTGTCCCATCACCTCACCCTCTCTACCTGCTCCCAAACTCGTCTCCTGCTATGCCTTTTGATGACTTCTCCTTAGTTGCCACGAAGAAGTGCTCATATCAGCAAACAGATGGCGGCTGAGGCATGTAGCATAAAATATATTTATCAAGGCAAACAGCTGTAGCCCATTTCATTCGGCAGAATTCTATTAAAAGTTCTCCAGAGCTACAAGCCGCTCTGAGATGGCAACCTGAATGCAGCCCAGGGAGCGGCGGCTTTGTGCCGCTCTCCTCCCACTCTGCTCCTTTCCGCGAGGCCAAAGAGAAAGCGGCCACTCTCTGTATTCTTCCTTGCAGGCTTCAATTAAAATGCCACAATTGCATTGGCAGCCTCAACTGTCCTGCCTCCTTGGGCTGGTGGGGGCCCTTCTTAAGTGCTTCTGCTTTCCAGGCAGGCAATAATGACTCCCAGCTGCACTGTTACAATTACTGGGCACTGTTTGGGCCAAGTGGCTGCTCTCTGGGCTCCTGTCCTGCCCTGTCCTTCATCGGAATGAACAAAAGTCTACTCACTGGGGACCAGGAAGTGCTGTCTGTTCCGTCTCCAGCTTTCATCAGACTTTCTTCCTGTGCTTCCTGTTTTTGGGATGGCCAGGAAACTGCCATGATTCCCCTCATCACAGTTTGGAAGACCACTGATCTGGGAATTGGGAGACTGGGATCTAGTCCAGATTCAGACATTAATTGGCTTTGAACTTGGGCAATCCTTCTCATTGATCTGGGCTCTTTATTTCCTCTTTGAGGAGTGGGACTAGATTAAAGGAGCACATTCAAGTATCTTTAGGAGCCAGACAGGTGTGAAATGTCCAGGTATATGAAACTCTGGTTTGAGACCCACCAAGACTCAACATTTGCTAACATTCCATTAAGATCCAATATTCTATAATAACTATTAAGAGACACTTGGGGGTAAGGCTGAACTCCAGAGAAGGCAAATGGATATCAGTTGGTGGTCTATATGAAATTACCACCTTTTGCATTTTTTAGAGGGGTAATGAAAGAGACGATTGGTGACCTCGGACATTCTGCCAATCATTGTGGGGAGTATAAATCATCTTGAGAAATCATGTGGTTTAATGGGGCAGAAATAGGGGCTGTGGTGCCAGACTGGGTTCAAAGCCTCATTCTGCTCCTTGACAGAGGTGCGACCTCTCACAGTTCATTTAACTACGCCTCCGTTTTACCTCAGGTAGGTTATTTAACTACACCCAAGTTACAATTTAGTTTCACCAATTGTGAAATGGCAGTAAAAGTAGTACTTTTTTTTTTTTTTTTTTTACAGAGCTTATTTGAGGATTAAACTGATAAATCTGAATAATTAATCTAGAATCATGCCTATTATAGAGTAAGTACTCAATAAATGCTAATTGTTATTTATGGAGATGACCTTCTAGCTTTGTTGTGTTGGCACAAAATTGGACAAGTGTTCAAGGAGTGGTTCTGTGGAGCTAATATTTACAAATCATTGGCAACAGTGGTGAGGCTTAGCTCATCTCTTCCACCAAACACATCATTGTAGGGCTTCATCCCTCACCACCCAGATTTTAGCTGGCAGCCGAGACTGCACACTGACAATTCCTCGCATAGATGATACACTTTTACATGCATCATCTAATTAGGTTCCTTGGAGGGAAAGAGGCGAGTAATGCCTTCCTCATTTGACAAAGGCAGATTACATAATTTGCTCAAAGTCATCCAGCCCGTGAGTATTAGAGTCAGCATCTAAGTCTATGATATCTAATTCTCTTGATAGTTGTCTCTCCAAGTTATGGGACTACTTTTATAAACTTGCTCATGATTGTGGTTAGTTAACATGCTATAATCAGAATGGCTCTGTTGAGTCACAGGGTTTCCTAAACTTACCTAAAGCATCACTTTGGGTGCTTGTTTCGAACTCTGATTTCTGGGCCCCAGTACAAGTCTACTGAATCAGGATTTCCAAAAGACTCAGTAACATACATGTTTACCAAGCTCCCCAGGTGATTCTTGTGATCAGGAATGTCTAGAAAACCCTGGGCCAGAGAATTCTGCTCAGAAAACTCACCAATCATCTTTGCACCTTGTCGGATATTAGAATAGCCATACAGAACCATCTAGTAAGGACATGAGAGGAAGTGGGAAGAGTATGGCTCACTCGAAGGACGAAAAGAACAAACAAAGCAAAGTCCATGGCTTGTTAATTTAATTTGCAACATTGGTATTGCATTCTTATTTACAAGCAAGGTGGCTTATTAGATCTTGCATGGTGGGTCAGGAGTATCATCTCAGAAAAATGAAAGACATTTATCAGAGCCAAAGAGCATTTAGTGGTCTAAAACAACTAATGTGCTCACTTGCATGCCCTACTTCCAAGAAAAGGTTCTGACAAAAGGTGAGGTTGTTATCTTGCAACATCTGTTAGATTGTGTTCAGTTGAACATTGTAATGAGCTTTAAGCTACTTTGTGATCAGTGAGTCTTTTGGGAACATCCACAGAATACAGAACAATATACCAAGAGCTGGGGGTACAGAGTAAAGGCTATGCCTGACCTCAAGAAGCCTTTAGTTCAGTAGGTGAGAAAATAATTGAAATATGTCCTTGAGAGATGTAATGCAGGGCAATTATAATCTCATAATAATAACACTCCAGGTAATGGTTAGCTCTCTCTTCAGTTAATGGCTTATTGACACTTTGCGTGGGAGAAACAAAGGTCTCCTTTGAGTTCCACACTCAGTGTTAGCCTACCCATAGTACTTTCCAGCTTCTGCTCTTTTGCTCCTGATTTGTTTAGTTGGCATGCTACTCTTTCATTTGCTACCTTCCCTCATGAATATTCTACCAACATGTTAAGGCTTAAATTAAATCCCACCATAACCAAATGATTTCCTTCAGTACAACAGGGCCTGCCCATCCTGAGAATCATCCAGTGGTTCCTCCCTCATGGCCCCACGTCTTTCACTAGTTTGTTTTCCGTATTCTTTGCCTGTCACCTTGCCAGACTTTACATTTGTAGAAGCCTGGGGCTGGAATTACTGAAGCTTCACCAGTAGATTTTAGCATAGAACCCCACTCACAGCAGGTGCTAGATGATCACATAGTTTGTTGGTAGCCTATGTGCAGATGACACAGGTATGATGAGCCCAAACCTGTGATCCTTGAAGCTGCTCTATGTTAGCTGGACATTTTCGATTGTACCAAATGGAAATCAAATTCAAATCATTTCAAGTAATAACAGGGATTTCATGGCTCACATAACTGCAAAATCTGTGGGGGTAGTTTTGCTAGCTTTAGGCACAGGTAGATCAGAGTTTATAAATGTTGTTGGGAGTCTATTTATCTCCATTTCTTAGCTCTTTGTCAAGGCTGATTTGATTCTTGCGTGGACTCTTTACGTGTGGGGGCAGAGATGGTTCCTAAAGTTGCTGGGCTTATGTTCCACCTGATAAATAATCTCAGAGGAAAGAGAGAGTCTCTGTCCTCTTCCTGACAAAATTCCAAGGCCTGCCCTTCACTGTGACCTGATTAGCTACTTCCAAACCCGAAGGTGATGGCTCATTAGGCTCCATTGGAACCACAAGAAATCAGAGTGGGGAGAGGTGTATACTCTTAAACAGAAATGAGGGAAATGGATGCTGAGCAGGCAAGAAAAACATATCTGACCTGGGGTTATTTAGCATTTCATGGAAAAACATTCCACGACCAAGCCACTTTCTTTAACACTGATATCATTTCTGATGCTAAACAGGCATTGTAAAAAATGCATGCATTAATCATAAGATGAACCAATCCTGCAGCATGTAAAAAGCTCGGTGCACCTTGTCTTCTCTATAAAATACACACCTCGGATCACAACCCATGCAAACTTATCCTAAAGAAGTAATTCCAGACACATACGAAGAGTCAAGGCTGTTAAATGCGGCAATATTTAAACAGAGATAGCAATGAAATATTGGAAATAACATAAATATCCCAAATACAGAAATGGTTAAATACCTTATAGTTTTTTTTTTTTTTTTTTGCTATTAAAAGTGCTGTTCCTAAAACGTACTTGATATAGAAAAATGTTCAGGAAATTATGATACAATATTCCGCAAAAATGCCAAGATGCAAAAGTATTTATATTTGACGATCCCAGATTTGTGTGAACATACACAGTTTCACTAAAGGCTGGAAGGAAACACTTTGAGGTGTTAAGAGTTCTTTGAATGATAAAATTGCCAGTGAATTTTTTCTTCCTTTATACTTTCCTGTTTCCCATTTTTTGCTCAAGAACCATATTATTTCATGATGAGAAAAACACATTTAATATTTAAAATGCATGCTTAAGTGTCAGGGCAATGGGAAACACATACCATTGGATTTATGGTGATTGCAAAGTGGGAGGACCCATTCTTTCTGGGGCAGAGGCCAGAATACACAGAGAAGAGCTTTTTCGCTTGCTCTGCCCCAGGCTAGGCAGGAGGGCACCACTGGCTTCTATTTCTCATGGGCCAGGGTTCCTGTTATTTCCATATGGGTGGTTTCTTCATTTGCTGCTCACTCAGGTTTCTGGGGAGATATCCACCCCCCTCCTTATTTACTAAATGGGGGAGGCAGAGCGGGAGGAAGACGGAGAGAGAAGAGAGAGTGTTGAAATCTTTCCCCCCAAAGGACTGCAATAAAGGAGCATATGTATCAACTAAAAAAATTCCTTGGCAACAAAAGCTTTTTAATTGAACACAGTCTCTTCAGCCAACTTATGTAAATTTTATCCCAATTTTGGGCATCTATTTTGAGCACAGAGAGAAGCGGTATGAATCTTGCCCTAAAATTGTGCTCAACAGAAGGGGTGACGCCATATGGATGCCATGTTATGGGAGCCTGTCACCTGCTAACTGAGATGAGAAATTACAGGTTATAATCCCCTTCCTGCTGTCTGAGGATCCCAGGTGGGCTGGGAGAGCTTTGGGTATCAGGTTCTGTCTGACCCCTTGATACTTGCCTGGGGCCTTCCTGCAAGTGTCTGGGAGGTCACAGGGTGAAGGATAAGAGAAGCAATGCCTCTAGATGGGGTGGTGGCGGGGTAGGGGGGATGGAAGTGCTTGCTTCTACCCCCAAAGGAGCTGGATTTCCTTCCCCTCAGCTTAAGTGGGCATCTGGCTAATCCTATAAAACTGTTACCAGCTGAGAGTCAGTGAGTGGCCCTTTGGTGACTAGACTAACCTTGAGAAGTGGCCTCATGTGGAAGTTGGGAACTGGGAGGAGGGTGATGCACCTATTGCATTGTACCTATTTGTGGAAAAGATGGAGAAAGAGATCCAGGGGGGACTGTGAGCCCACTCCGAGTATTCTCCTCCATGGGGAGTTGTGAGTGCAACCCACCCCTCCCTCTGTGGCTTGGCAAAGGATGAGTTTTGGGATCTGCAGGAGGTTGGCTACAAGTCAGATAGCAAAATATGGGTAGTAGGAAGTGCACGTTGCCTGGTTTTAGACTGTAAGTAGTGTCTAATAAATGTGGAGATTTTCTCTGGAAAGGCAGTTATCATAGATAAAATGATAGCTTAATATGACGTGGGAAAAATCATGTGGACATATGTCACATTTATTTTTCTATGCCTAACTTGTTTTCCCCCAAAGTCACTCCAAGTCACAGGCATAATCCCAGGTCAATTTGATTTCAGGTGTATATTCTTTCTATCCCCTTGCTTCTTAAGTAGGTTTAAAAACTTTACCGGCTACCTGACCACATAGGTGTGTCCACCGTTGATGGGCTAACTTTGGATGGTCTGAATTGTAGTCTGCATGAAAATGGTGTATGTACCATTGCCTTTCTAGCAAGCTCTTACAGGATTGCACCCTGTGTCCCCAGGGCCTGGTAGAGGACCTGGAACAGAATTGCTAGTAAGAAATGTTATTTGATAAATAGACACATACATAGTTTCCACTGGTCCTGCCCACTTTTACTTGGAGAAATAAAGCATGCAAAAGACCAATAGGACTATCATTGAGAAGTGTTGTATCCAAGAGTTAAAGCAACAGGATAGAAGTAAAAGAGTTCTTTGTCTAAGGTCAACTGAGAATATAAAGGTTATTTGTTTCACCAAAATTCCCTAGTTTTTTTTTTCTCTATAAAATGAGGATGCTTTTCATATGGCAAGTGATCGATAACTCACTGGTTATAAATCTCCAGATTTGTTAGAAACTACCTATAGATTAAAGACACCGATGTGCCCAGTGATCTGGCTGCTTTTCCTTTTGCCTGGCTGTTTTCCATGAACCAACTCACCTGGTCCATGGAAAATACTGTTCTTTGTCCCTTGCTTCCTCCTTCCATTCTTCCTTTCTTGTTTCCTTTTACCATACATATTTATTCCACACTTATCATATTATAGGCACCATGATAGTCACTTGGTATAAAAAAGGGAAGAAGGCATGCCTGACTTCAAGGAATTTACATTCTAAAGAAGGAAGCAAACAACCAAATCGATAGTTACACTAGACTGAGATGCAATTACCATGGATGTATGCAGGGTATGGTGGGAATACAGAAGTAAGATGACTAAGTCGGATTATGAACTCCTGAAAATGGTAAATGAGGTTCTAAGATGGCTGATAAGACTGCGTGTATGTGTATGAGAGAGAGACAGAGAGAGAGGCGGAGGAGAGTAATAATTTATACAATACATTATTTGTGAAAGGTAACTGATTAGAGAAACCATCTATGATACTTCAAAGCTATTTTGAGGAACAACTGAAGAAATACATGTGAAGCACTCATCGTAATGGCTGGCTAATAAAAATTCCAAAAATAGTAGTTTTGGTTGTGGCCATAGTGGTATCACTATTGTGTCTCATACACATCAATGAACATTTAAGAATATCTATTATAGGTTAGGTTCTGTATTAGGCCCTAAAGAAACATATGGTATAGTAAAGAATCTGAATACACAAATAATTCTTTAGCTGATAGAACATTATGTGTGAAAATAGAAATATGGAAAAGTAAAGAAATGGTATAGAAAAGAGAATGCTTAAAATCCCAAATGCCCAGTGATGATAGACTGGACAGGAAAATACGGCACATATACACCATGGAATACTATGCAGCCATAAAAAACGATCAGTTTGTGTCCTTTGTAGGGATATGGATGAACCTGGAAACCATCATTCTCTGCAAACTGACACAAGAACAGAAAATCAAACACCGCATGTTCTCACTCATAGGCAGGTGTTGAACAATGAGAACACGTGGACACAGGGAGCGGAGCATTACACACTGGGGTCTGTGGTGCGGAAATAGGGGAGGGATAGCAGGGGGTGGGGAGTTGGGGAGGGATAACATGAGGAGAAATGCCAGATATAGGTTATGGGAAGGAAGGCAGCAAACCACACTGCCATGCATGTACCTATGCAACAATTCTGCATGTTCTTCACATGTACCTGAAAACCTAAAACACTATATACATATAATATATATTATATATTATATTATATTGTGTTATATATTATATATTATATATAATATATATAATATATATAATATATAGTGTTTTAGGAGTGTTTTATATATATATCTATTATTTATATATTATATTTATTATTTATATATTTATTATTTATATATTATATAAATATTATATTATATAAATATTATATTTATTATTTATATATTATATATAATATATATTATATATATAAATATATACACACATATACACAAATATATATTAAAATATATGTATATATATTTATATATATATATTTGGGGTAGTCTGAAAAGGGTTTTCAAGGATGAATAGGAGTTTGCTATATGGACAAGGAGAAGCAGGGAAGGGCATGGCAGGTGAAGGAATTATTCAACATGGCATATCCAGGGAATTGTCAGAGAAGATGTGCAGCAGCAGCAGTTGAGGATGAAAAGTCTGTCAGCAATGGGATAACATTTTTAACAAATTACCATACAGCAAGGAGCCACTGGATGCAAATTTCTATTATCGAACTCATCCAACCGTATTGTAAGCTGTCTACATTTGTCTTCCCTTCAGGAACGTGGGCTACTTGAATGAAGAAATGTCTATAATTTTTTTCACCCCCTAGTGCCTAGCATATACTGTGTACTCAATATTTGTTGAATGATGAATCAGTTAAAATGAATTCCTAAGAGAAATTCCAGACTTTCTCAAGGCAATGCATGCCTGGCATTTCAGAGGTCTGGGTACTCCTCCCAGGGATGTTGACTGGAGTATGTTGAGTGGCTATTCTCCATGTCCGAGGAAAAGGGGACCAGGGTGAGATGTGTTAGCTGCAGTGGAGAGACTGACTTTTTAATGTCAAAGTCATCAAGAAGATTTTATGGGATGCCGAAAATGGGGTAGTTGAGGGTGGCCATGGGATCATTTTCTCAATGTTTTTTTTGTGGTCAAAGGACAGTGTATTAGGGTTCTCTAGAGGGACAGAACGAATAGGATATATGTATAGGTGAAAGAGAGTTTATTAAGAAGAATTGACTCACATGATCACAAGGTGTCTGCAAGCTGAGGAGCAAGGAAACCGGTATTGATTTAGAAGCCAGCCCAAGTCCCAAAACCTCAAAAGTAGGGAAGCCGACAGTGCGGCCTTCAGTCTGTGGCGAAAGGCCTGAGAGCACCCGGCAAGCCACTGGTGTAAGTCCATGAGTCCAAAAGCCAAGGAACTTGGAGTCTGATGTTTGACATCCAGCACAGGAGGAGGATGAAGGCCAGAGACTCTGCAGGTCTGCCCTTTCCACCTTCTGCTTGCTTTTATAGCCACGCTGGCAGCTGATTGAATGGTGTCCATTCACGTTGAGAGTGGGTCTGTCTCCTCTAGTCCACTGACTCAAATGTTAATCTCCTTTAGCAACACCCAGAAACACCCAGATACACCCAGAAACAATACTTTGCATCCTTTGATCCGATAAATTTGACAATATTAACTATCACAGACAATTTTGCCGAAAGGGTTACTTTGGGGTGAATTCTAACTGGAAAGGCTCTGCTAGGAGAAAAAATATGGAGGTCTTATGAAAAATGATTTTTCAGTAGATAAACACGAGGTTGGAACAACATGGGATAGACTTTTAGTCTAAGGGACCAGCTTTGATGTCTAGTTGCCTTGGTAAGCACAAAGGGAGGCTCAGAGGGTGGGCTCCTCCCCTGCCTCTCAAGCAGCAGGTCAGTTTGAGCTCACCTATCACCTGGGGACGTAGGAAATTGAATGACTGCTCTTCTCACAGTACAGGGCAGGTTTCTATCCTCTGGAGAAAGTCTCTGTGAAAGCCCATGGATTCTGCCCTAAGCTCCTCGAGGGCTAGAAGGAAATAGGTTACCGCTGTCCACTGTTATATCTTCAATGCCTAGTACATTTCCCGACACTTTGTAAGTGCTCCCTACATATTCATTGGATTGAATAAACAAAAATAACAACGAATACTTTTATACAGCTTACTAGGTACCAGACACAGTTGCAGGGCTTTTGCAGGTATTAATTTATTTAATCTCTGCTACAAACCTATCAGGTAGGTACTGCTGCGAATAGAAGAAATGCTGATGATGTGATGGTAGACAGAACAGTCTGAGCATCGTCCTAGCCCAGCCACAATCATGGTGCCGGCAAACAGGGACTTTCTCTTCAGTCAATAAAGGGCAGCCTATGGTAGATGTGAGATCTTGATGGTAGCTCCCTGACTCTAACCATAAGTAAGGACGGTTATCTGATGACTCTCCATGAACTAGTCCAGACAGAGAAAAGTTTATAACAATGCTATTTGCAGCTGCAGCAAGGCCAATTCCTCTGTGAATGATCACTGATGCAAGTCATGCTCGCTATGCATGATCACATCGATGGTAAACATGCTGTTTTCCTTGAAAGTGAAGCCCTCTCTGAGCGGAGCTGTGGGGCTGAGTGTGTGCAGGAGCCCGTGGGGAGGGCA